AAAAAAAAAAAAAAAAAAAAAAAAAAAAAAAAAAAAAAAAAAAAAAGGCCGACGATCGTCAATCACACAACCATTAACAAACAAGCCGAATGCACTGGGTCAACGGGCCTTAGCTCAGTCAGTACAACCCGTGGACTGCTGAAAAAATACGAAATACAGACCAGAGCTCGAGTCCGGATGCAGTAAGATGAGCCGAGCGAAATGAAATTTGAATTGTGAACAAACTTCAACAAACATAGCAACAGAAACTACGCGGCTGTCGCTCACTGTCTCCTCCATAAGAATAGAGGCCAGAAAAGATTATATACAATAAAATATTACAAAACAATTGAAAACATTAAAAACATAAAAAATATTAAAAGCATTAAAGCATGTATACTATTGTATAGCACATTCATGATTCCACTATAGCATTCAAGCAATAGTCCACCCTTTGAAATTTGGCCCTTTGCCTAAGCAATAGTCCACCATTTGAAATTTGGCCCTTTGCCTAAGCAATAGTCCAACCTTTGAAATTTGGCCCTTTGCCTGAGCAACAGTCCAACCTTCGAAATTTGGCCCTTTGCCTAAGCAATAGTCCAACCTTTGAATGCAGATTCATAAAACCTTGAACCGCATGGAGGCCTGTGTCGGCCCTGACATGTCACAAATTGACTGCAGGCCCACAGGAGGGGGGGGGGGGGGGGGTTCCTGGGACCAGAAGGTCGGTCGGATCTGTGATCAGGTGGTACTGCTTCCAGGAGGGCCTCCGAATGGAAGAAAATCCTGGTTCAGCCACAGGACTTCCTTTTTTCTTAAAGATTGGTGGTTTGAAACAACACACCTCTTGTCCTTCGGGACATCCGTTAAAATTGGAACGATACAGAGAAAGAAGATTAGCATGGCCCCTGTGCAAGGGTGACAAGACATAAATCCAGAAACGGGGTTCAAATTACAAAAAAAACAAAAAAAAAGAAAACAAAAAAACACCTGTTAGCTCGTTGGACAGAACGCGGGCCATGCTGCTTCTACATGTGGAATAGTGCCACACTGGATAGAAGACGAGGTAGCTCTCTACACACAGTGACACAGGGCAGAAGAAGAAGCCATCTCATCACGAGTGACCTTGGAAGCAACAACAGGAGCTTTCGAACTTCAAAGCCATGAATAGAGGTATAATTACGTAGCATCGTGTTCGCATTTGGAGGCGAACACGAACATGTTCGCCCGAACGCGAACAAACGCCCAAAACCCTCCAAACGCGAACATAAAAAAATATTAAAAATGTTAATTAAAAAAAACAGAAAAATCTGAAAAAAGTTCAAAAAACATACATATTATATATGTCATGTAAAATAACAATACAAGCAACTTTTACCCTGGAGTCACGTTCAAACTTCAAAAAGTCTTAGCCAAACGTGATTCAAAATTTTTAAAAAACTGGCAAACTGCAAAAAATATGTATATATATTGTCACAAATAGAGCTGCCCGGTAAACCGTAGGCAGAGAGAGAGAAGAGGACAACAAACGAGGGGCTGTGACAAACTGTTTCGTCGGAGTTTCACCGACTCATATATATATATATATATATCGTCAAATAGAACTGCCCGGTAATATATATATTTTTACGAAAAACAAATTATGTTCGACCAAACACATTCGCAAGCCGTTCACGCGAATGTACGAACGTGTTCAGGCGTGTTCCGGATTCCGCGAAAGAAGCTCCAAACGCGTTCGGTGTGCTGCGAGGGAGGGAGGGTCAGAGCAGGAAAAGTACCTCGCCAGGGGTGCATACATAGAGGATGGCAAATTGGCAAATGAGGAAACTGACTGCAACAAAGAACACGAGGTGTGAAAAGTGTTGAAGAAGATTAAAAAGGGTTTAGAAGAAAAAAACTACATCTCAAAGGTAAGAGCAGGAAGAGTAAAATTAAGAGGTGGATGACAAATGGACACAGTGCAGGGAAGCCAAAATCAAATGGTTCAAAGAAGCAGAAGAAAAAGAGCGAAGAGCTTCGTGGTTGACGGCTTGACCGCTTGGCGATTGATGGAAGAGGTCGGCCATCGATGGTTGTCGTTCGCTCATCCATGTCGAGCCACGAAGACGAGGTGTTATGTAGCAATGAGGTAGAATCAACGCGAGTTGTATGCCGGGCGGCTATCATTTGTTGTGCGGGTTTCGAGACAGGTAAGCCCATAGTTAGACTAGAGTTCATTCGTTTTGCCATGTGCAAGAGATTTTTCATTGGCTTTGCTATATACAAGACCTGCCTGGGTGAGGTGGATGGGATGGGCATCCTTTTGGTGTGGGCGGCATGGGGTAGAGAGAAAAAAAAAGGTACTCTACAGATGGAATGAGTGGGTTGAAAAGACGAGTAGGTTAGAGATTGAATAGGAAAAAGACAAGACAGGAGAGAAGAGGCAAGGATGGCACGGAGCAGAGACATGGAAGCAGGATAGAGGGAAGGGAGGTGAAAGCGAGAGGAGAGCGGAGAACAGAATCCACACACACACACAGAGAGAGAGAGAGAGAGAGAGAGAGAGAGAGAGAGAGAGAGAGAGAGGGTTGATGTGAGTAAAGTCACCACTTATCTCAGGGGTATTGCTAAGCCTGGGGGATGTGGTGAGTCCTTATCTATCAGACTGAGGGGGTTGAACCTCCTGATGAGTCGGTGAAAGTCCGATGAAACAGTCTGGCAGAGACTGGCACAGTCATGCTTTTTTTTAGTGTATAGCGCACACACACAACAACAACAACAAAAAAAAAAAAAAAAAAAAAAAAAAAAAAAAAAAAAAAAAAAAAAAAAAAAAAAAAAAAAGCTGGATACACAAGAGGTGAGAGAACAGGCAACACGATACAGAATCGGTGAACAGACGACAGGTGAGAAGAGAAGAGGTGACGACGGAATAGTAAAGAAAAGAGGATGGAGAGAGAGAAAGGAGGAGTGGGTTCAAGTAATAAGTCGTCACCTGATATCCTGCGATGAACACCTCTCCGTCCTTTGAGAATTGCCCTATGTAACCCTTGTCATTTCTTATTCTATCCACCTCCGTTGCAATACCGCCCGGAATTAGCCGTTGGCCGATATGTCGGCGAGCCCCCGGTGAAAGGCCTCTTGAATTTAACTCTCTCTGAGACAATAGGTAAGCAGTATTAACATGCTTATGCTTGGTCTGTGGTCCAGGCCTATATGCCCAATCCTGTTCAAAGCGGGGTTGAGTCGGCATAGTCCGAACTCTTAACTCGTCAACAAGCTCATGCTCAAGTGGCTCGGGATTCCAGACCAGAGGCGGAAGTGTTCTGCGAATGAAATCAGATTCGTGGTCCTCATCGTCATAGTATTCTTCGTCATCATCGTCCTCTTCCTCCTCTTCGTTCTCACCTTCATCGTCATCATCATCTTGCTGCCACCGAAGTAGCATTCCATCAGACCTAACAGACCTGGCACGCTGCATGTGCGCTGCGCGACTTGGATTCGTTGTCTGGGGTGTCGCGGGGGTGGTTAATGAGAAAGACGTCGATGGCTCTGATGATGTCAGCACGCCCTGTCCCGCCCCACCACTACCCCCAATCCCGCTGCGATTTCGTCCCGTCGATCGGGGGGCAGATCCTCTCCCCTGCAATCTTGAGGACAAAGAAGTTGACGAAGAAGAGCGGCGTCCACCACTCAAAGACCACCTGCTTGACCGCAGATACGCATTCCAATAGCCAATTGCCCACACCCAAAATCCAGTCCGCCTTGCTTCACTCCCGCCATCCTGCATATTCGAAAGCTGCAGTCAATTCATACCCTTCAATTTCAGACCAATTTACACAGAGACTGACACACTGAAGAACCCCAACAACCCCACATTCCTCTCTCTCTCTCTCTCTCTCTCTCTCTCTCTCTCTCTCTCGTGTGCGCGCGCACGCATTCCGTTGTCATGTTTGCTAACACGACGTTACAAACGAAGCATGACTGTGCTGGAATGGTTGTCCGATTTTCACTGACTCATCAGTACAATACACAGGGGGGATGTTTGCACAAGTGTGCAGCTGTTGTACATGTACCCTTCTGAAGTTTCCGGGCAGCGACTTGTTGAATTGCCGAGGTTTCGCTGATACTCTTTCAGTTCAGTTGGGAATGCAAAGTAGCAGAGACGAGAACCCCAGGGAAGAAAGAAGAGGAGAAGCATTCAATATGGCAGTCACCGATAATCCTTCAACAGAAGGGATTGGGATTGAAACAGAAACAGAAACAGAAACAGAAACAGAAACAGAAGGGATGGAAACAGAAAGATAAGACAGCTATTCGAGGTGCCGTGGAGAAAGGGCAAGAACGCCAAGAACGCATGGGGCAAGCGGCGTGAGCGGAGCTGGCCGTCCACCCTGAGCAGCTCAAAAGACCAGGAATGTTTCTTTTTTGTTTGGATTGCCAGGGGGGTATTTCTGAGGTGACCCTTAGCCAAGCGCTGTTTGCATTGCAACTCCACAAATCTGAGGTGACCCTTAGCCAAGCACTGTTTGCATTGCAACTCCACACAACGTTTTTTTTTCTTTTTTCCTTTTTTAACTCTACAGAGTCTACACAACGTTTTTCTTTCCAGAAGTCTTTTTTTCCATCCGAAATCAAATTGATTATTATAATTTATTACCATCCAAAATCAAATTGATTATTATAATTTATTAAACCGTGCAAGCAGTCTTATGTCAACATATGGAACAACAAAAGTTCCAAACACTGTTATGTCGAGTCAACTGGGTGAAACCGTTTCGCCTATTCCACCCAGATGAGTAGATCCAAAGTCGTAGCAATTTTACCTCTATTGCAGACAATGAAGCATGCTTAAGATGAGTCAATCCACCAATGAAACAGTTTTGCTTGTAAAGTCAATATCTACTGTTCCCTGTCAACGAGAGAGGTTTGAGGGACAATCACATCCTCCACAGAGGGAAGAGTGGGGTGTGTGCATGTGGAGATGCACACACACATCTTTGTGAGTGTGTGAGTGTGTGAGTGTGTGTGTGTGTGTGCGTCCTTGCCTCGTCCTTGGGGCGCTTACCACCTACTTCTTCCCCATACTACACCATTCCAACATCCCACTTCCGCCGTCGACCATCGGACATCTCCGGAGATGTCCGCGATCAGTTGGCGTCAGACCCGAACCGAAAAGACCGAAGAACACGCAATAGGGTCACTTGTACTACTACTAGAAACTGACAATGCAAAACCAAACCAAAGCAGTGATACACCCCTAAGTCACGGGGGTGGGGCCCTACTTCCCTGGCCACTGTCGAACAGAACTCCCAAGTACCTATACTTAAAGTTCACCGGTTCACAAACTGCTACCGGCCTAGATCCGAACCAACCAATACTGTGTATTGTAAAATATCAGCACGTGCCCCAGTAACCGGAGCACAGTGGTGCTCGTGACGCAGGTTCAAATCCTGCCTTCCACAACTTACCGATTACCGGTCCCAAGTACAGCGAAGATGAAAAACCCTGTCAGAGCACCTACTTTTCTTCTTTTCATCTTAAAAAAAAAAAAAAAAAAAAAAAAAAACTTCGCTGGCAGCACTTATAGGGTAAGGGTCACACGTCTGATGAGTACGTAAAGGCGGGGTCCAGAAGAACGGACAGGGTTCAGAAGTCAGCTGAATCTGATCGCCTGCTGCATATCTACAACGTAAGAGTGGTCGCATCTGATGAGTATGTAAAGGCGAGCTTCAGAAGAATGGACGGGAGATCACACTAAGTCGCGGCAGGCACACCCGCTTTCCAGCAGGTGATGCTCCCCACCAATAGATGGAGCCTCTCCCCAGGTGCTAGTGTTGCCTGCTTTTACCAGCACCATTACAGTTTTCACCTGAATAGAACACCCCGTCATTATCGCTTTATCTAGACGGAAAATTGCGCTGAAAATGGGCGTTCTATTCGGGTGAAGACCGTAGCACTGCAGAGGGCGTTCTGAGTTTAAAAAAAAAAGAAGTCGCGGCAGGCACCAGGCCGAAGCATCAGGAGTGCGTCAGGAACTGTATCGAGTGCCGGCTTCATGATGTTTAGGCAAGAAACGAGAGTAGAGACTACTGTCTTAACCCGAAAAAAACGTATGTACGCTGTATACGAATACAACGTACATATGTTGTACAACGAGTTTTAGGGTACAACTTTGCAGGAGCTAAAGTACCAGACATCGTTTTTATTTTTTCCCTCAAATTTGGTTGAGAATTTCTCCAGGACCCTCAGGCAAAAGTTGTTTATATTCCAATTTCGTACAACATAGTTCTTTTTTTTCGGATTTCTTTGGATTATTTTTTGCAAATCGAAATTCTTAATAAATCAAAAAACACTGCAAAATGCCCTCAAGGCTCAAAGAGTCAAAAAAGACTCAAAATATATTTTTATTCTTGTTTTTCGGTAGTGAATTTCGACATGACCCTCAGGCAAAAGTTGTTTGTATTGCAATGTTGTACAACTTCCTTTTTTCCAGAAGTTTTTGATTTTTGAAAATTGAAATTAGCAAAAATTTGAATACAATGTACGTACGTTATATTCGACCATACGTTCTATTCAGGAAAAAATCAGCAATTTCGGAGAACCCATTTTTTTTAGGTAATATGATATACGTACGTTTTTTTTCGGGTTAAGACAGTAGTCGGTAGGAGTGAGTCATTTCGAATTCCCCCTGACGAGGTCGCTAACTGGCAGCGACCAAAACTCGTAGGGGATGATGGCCACACTCCTATGTCTTTCTCTGGGTTTCACTCCAGTTTTACGTCGAGGAGGGAGGTTACTCCATAGCTTGCTGCAGCTTTCCGCAGCTCACTACATCTGTGCGGCGACGCTTATCTTCCTGTTATGGAACCTATTCACGATTTCTCTTCACGTACTTGTGGCGTGGTTATCACGGTTATATGTGCCACGTTCGGTCAGATCTTGCTCTGACTCTTGCTGTCTCTCATTCCTCACCACTTAAACCACAAGTACACTGCCCCAGCCTTGCAGTCCGAAACTTGTCGCCACAAGAAAAAAAACTAGGCCGAACCGTCAAACGCTGGGCCCGACGTTGATAAATTCAATCGGTAGTCGCGTTTTCGTTTTGCGCCTCCAGAATTTGAGGTGTCAGGGCCGCAGCCCACGTGCCCATGTATTGGTGCTTTAAGGAGGTGATGGGAGCCGCCTGCTGAAGTGGCTCCCTGGTGGAAGGTTCCATCTACTATTGGTGGGGGGGGGCTGCACCTGCGGGACCTCCAACCTAACCCCTCCCCATCATGTGCTCATCATGGCATGCCCCAGGGGCCAAGTCCCACTAGCAAAGCATTGAGATTCCTCAATGCCTGAATCCATACCTGTTTGTGGAGGGGTGCGGTTGAGGATACTCGACACGACTTTCCGCACGTCTCCACAAACACGTCCACATTCGGGCGTTGAGGAAACTCGACGCTGCTAGTGGGAATTTCGCCCGAGAGGACCAACCACCTAACCTCTCCTCGTTGACTGACGTCCTGTCTTCCCATGTTCTTTCTGGGATTCGCAGATCGCCAACCAACCATCTTCCCTCGTATAGCGATGTGGGTCATTATGGCTGTATTTGGGGCAGCTTCCAGTCTAGACACAGCGATACTGACCTGACTTTCCATTCGGGCGAAGAAGGCATCTTACTTCTGCCGTTCCCATGTTGTTCCTGGGATTTCCAGCTCATGAATATAGCCTTCTTCGCAAGAACAGACTGCCGGGTCATTAGAGCTGTATTTGGGGCAGCTTTCAGTCTAGACGCAGCGATAATGACGCTGTGCGCATTCTATTCGGGGTGAAGTCTGTATCCTTTCGTCATTGCATTCTCTTCCGGGTGAAGTCTGTTTTCCTTTCGTCATCTGATTGCCTCCCTGTTCTTGGTTTTTATTCTTTCTTTTTTTCTTAATGTTTTTTTTCTTACCTGCCCCGAATACAGTAGACTTTCCTCATCTGATTGCCTCCTCTTCTCGTTTTTTCTTTCCCTTTCGTCTTTTTTTTTTCCTTTCTATGTGCTGTTTCTTCCTGTTTGCCTCCATTCCGTTGGTGCTCTTACCACCACAGGGATACTTATGTTGCTGAATTTTCATGGGACGCTAGAGCCGATTTCCAGCAGGTGAAACTCCCCACCAAAGGGGGCAAAAAAAAAACAACTTCCCCACCAATGGACTGGGGTCATGACCATCATCATCATCCACAGTACCGCCTCGATCTTGTCAGTGCTGTCACCACCACGGGACTGTAGGCCTTCACATGATGCTGCTGTTATGTAATTAAAAGGAAATAAAGAAACAAAAAAAGCTCTCGATTTATGTATGTACTACGTATAGAAAAGACGGTGCCTTTTTATTTTCCGCCCGAGTCCTGCACAGCAGGGCTCGTTTCGGAGAAATTTTCAAGGGGTGGGGAGAGGTCACGTGGGCCTCTAGGGCCGGAGCCTACGTGGCAAGGAAACAATGGATTTTTTTTTTTTTTTTGCCCTTCCATTCGAGGATTGGTACTGGGGCTCAAGGGTGACGATTTCAAGTCCAGGTTCAAGAAGGGACAGTGGAACCACGAAACGAGTTGGGGAAAGTTAATCATCCTTCCCCAGTTAGGGCGGTCTGGAAACTCAGTTATTTTCAAGTGGCGTGGGACGAGGCCAATCATAGGGAGAGAAAGAACTTCAGTTTTGCAGAGGCGAGGTCCCACTAGCAAAGAGGATCGGATTTAACGCCTGAAATCTGGGCGTGTTTGTGTGAAGAGGTGGAGGAATCGCGATTGATCTGCTTTTCTGCATCT